GTAGGAGTTTCACCTGGATGTCTCTGCCACAGTTCACTCTTTAGTTTCTGAGGAAGACAGAGAGATACCTGTAGCACCTTGAGTTTTGCCAAGAGCTCCCAACAAATATATCGCTTATGTGATGGTGTGTGTGTGCATGTGTTAACGTTTATTTTTTTCCAGTAATGTACTCAGTGGACCTGTATATAAAGCAGTCATATGAATGTGGATTCTCTCCACCCATTGTGTATTTCTGCCCATCTTTCTTGCCTTGTGTTCCTTCTCTTTCCTCATCCTTCCTTTCCCAATGTGTCTTCCAAAAGCAAAGCAGAGCAAAACCCAAATCAAAATCTGCATTCTCCCACAAGTGACCACAATAAGTCAACTAGATCAAATGTGGCTCTCTTGTATATATTTTTTCCTTTTAAAAGAATCACATTTCTTGATAAAAGGAGCTGAGGGTATTTTCTCCCCAACAGAGAATTTCCACACCATCCATTCCTGGCAATAAGTCAGTTTTTGCTTTGTAGATCAGGGGTGAGCAATTGCGTCAGGTCCAAGGAGCCATTTTTATGGCTTGGGAAGCCTCTGAGGGCTGCAAGGGCTACCAAAAAATAAAACATAAAAGGCTCCTAGATTGCCCTGAAGTCTGCTTCTGGTTCTTATAAACTGAAATAATTTGATGTGAAACAGTAAAGAGAGGCCTGGTGACCTATTTAAATGCAATCTCTGGCACCTTGAGGCTTTCAGGAGCAGTGTTTCACCCTCGGTTTTGGGCATGGAAAAGTTCAGTCCGGGATTCTGGGGATGTTGAGAGCCACAGCAGCATTCTTGGGAGCCGTGCTTTGTCCACCCACCGCTGCTGTAGATGAGGAGACTGGATGGTCAAGGTCTAACTGACCAAAGGGAGAAGTGGAAGGAAACCCAGCTGGGCAATGGATTTCCAGAGCTCCCCTCCGTCCCATTGCCCTTCTCCTGGTTGGTACAAATCCTGGGGCCCTCCCTTCAGCTTTCTTCCCTTTGCAACAAGGAGGACAAAACATAGGAAGGTTGTGGGCCCTTTGCTTTGCTTTGCTTTGCTTTGCTTTGCTCCCCTGAGCTGTTGCCAGGGGAATGAGTAGCGGGCTAAGAATAGGCAGCCAGAGCATGCTGCGTCCACTACCCATTTCCATTCCTTAATGAACCTGGGCCTCTGAGCCTCCCCACACACCCCTCCAGGACCCGGTTTTGCAATGGAAAGTGCTGACCCAATTAGAGGTGTCTCTTGGGAGCCCTAAATTGGGGAGGAGGAGGAAGGGAAGGGAAGGGTGAGGGGGACAAGGAAAACCTGATGTGAACATGTATTCTGGGGCCAGGTTGCTCCCCTCCCAACACAAAGTCACCTTGTGCAGATTTTGAGGAGAGGTGGAATTGGGTGCTCTAGGTCTGTTTGAACCATTGGCGTTCTTGGTTCCCCAGGAAGCCCAAAAGATCCATCTGGATCCATTTCAGACCTACTGGCCCAATACTTCTTAAGCTCTTTGAGGTAGTAGAGCAGGGGTAGGCAACCTAAGGCCCAGGGGCCAGATGCGGCCCCCCAAGGACTTTGGACCGGCCCTAGGCCGGTCCTGCCACTGCCGCCACCCCCCACTGAGGCCGCCGCCCGCCATGATGATATTGATTATTGTTGTTATTACTTATTC